TATATATATATATATATATATATATATATATATATATATATATATATATATATATATATATATATATATATATATATATATATATATATATATATATATATATATATATATAGATATATATATATATAGTAAGATATCAAGGGGTTAATAACTGATAAGTTCTTGATTCTTTTAACTTTCGTTTTATATTTTCATTTATAACCATTGTGTTGTTGTTTTTTTACCTACTCCCATTCCTTCCAAGAAGTAACTACAGTAAATGATCACATTATTGAAATGAACATTTTTTTGAGTACACTAATTCTATACTTGCTGATTCACTGCTGCTGAATATAAGATAAGAATAAGTAGGCATAGTGTGCTGGTAACGTTGATAATTTACATAGTAATATTTACTAGGACAGTCTTAGAAATTTTTTGGCAAAATCACTCTCTTTGCACTCTTGGTGAATAAATATTTCATACCACTTACTTGAAACCAAATAGGGATCAACTCTTGCATGTGCTTAATGAAGCAGGATGTCATAGTCAGATGTTATTGCTTCGTTCTGCAATGGATAGCTGGAAGTGGGGGATTTTTCTTTTGAAAGGATATTTGTATTTTTTTATACTGGGTGCTTTGACAAAGAATGTCAGTGAAATGTACGTTCTCGTTGCAAGAGATTAAATATGTTGCATTTTGATAATATGACCATTTTCTAGTATTCACATATAACAAACTAACAACTTATTTCTTGGAAGCATTGTTTTATCACAAATTAATACTTTGATTTACTGTTAGTAGACCATCAAAAGAAAAGCATGATGATGTAGGGAGTGGTATGTACAATTACTAATGGATTTAGCCACTAACACTGCCTTTGCTTGATGCTGCTGCCTCCTTTTGTTTGTAGCCGGCGTTGATAGCCTCCCCCCTCCCCCCTTCCTCCAGCCGTTCGGGAGGAGGCAGTGGGTCCTCGAACCCATCTATTTCTCAGCGCGTGCAACAAGCAGCTGTGAATGCTGCCGCAGGCGCTGCTGTCAACGCGGCCACCAACGAACTCCTCTCTTCCTTTGGTTTCAAGAAGTAATTGTAAAGCGGATGTCCTTATTTGTATTTATTATGTTGAGCAATTGCGGTGTATAAAACAATGTTGCATTACAAGGATGATGCAGATTGAAGAATCAAATAATGTAATCAGAGATTTTAATATGAAATGTGTATAAATGCAAAGATTCAAGATTTCACTGAATGTATCTTGTCTCAGTGAAAAGTAGAAGTGTGTTGTTGATTTGAGGTTCTTAAGTAGATGTGGCATGATGCTCCATATCAGCTTGTATTTATCCTTTTCTATGATTTTTTTGACTTTCACTAAAATGAAGATGTAATTATAGATAGTTAACAAATGAAGTAATATGTTAGGTTTTAAATGAAGACAGAGCAAGAGAAGATAGTAATGGATTTATTTGTGCTCATGTATGTCTATATAGGTGAGTGTGTATGTGTCATATATGTATATTATATATACATTTTATATATACATATATATATGTATATATACATATACATATATATATATATATATATATATATATATATATATATATATATATATATATATATATATATATATATATATATATATATATATGTATACACATGTACATACATACACATACGTACACACAGATATACACATATTCATTCCAGATATATACACAAATAATTAAAATGGTATTTTCAGTTAGTCTACCATACAATAGTTCTAAATGATAGTTCAGCTGTTTATGAAAGATCTCAAACAGTCTTTGCTGAAACAGCAGGTGTCCAGGGACATTAAGTTGCTGTAGAAATATTTCAAGCTGTTAGATGAAAATCTTGCTACATGGTTACCAATTTCACTTTATTCAAGTTACTTTGAATATTTCTTTTGATTTACACAAAATAGATAAGCAATGCTACCACCATTAAGAACAGCTGCAGGAAACCGTCCTGAGGAGCAAGCATCACAAAATTAAAATGTTCTTTCAGTAGCTTTGATTGTCAGCTTATGGGTATCATGAGGGATCCAGCCAGATGCATCATTCACTAACTGATGTGGTTTACAAGCGTATCTTAGCTCAGGCAATAGGAGTCCTGCTTTTGTTGAAGTGGACACTTGATTTTGCAGTACAAAATGTGTTAAAACTCTAGGGTGACAGACCAAGGTGTGTATGCAGCTATGCACCTGATATTTCTTTATATAAGAGATGAGGAACTTATATTTAGAAACTATTCATAAATACAGGTTATCTGGCACCCGAGGGTTTGCAGTAAATCTTCTGTGGATATAGAGTTAAAAAGAGGATCGTTATTGCAAATTAGAGTTTGTTTAATCTGGTCTTGCTTATCAAGTGATTGACAGTTAATGGCCAAGCTGTTAAGGGTTTCTCTCTTGCTAATACTATAATCGGTTTGTGAGATCTGTGTTGATGTAAACCTAAAAGACAGTTGTTCAGCCAGATGCTGGAGATATCATATTCTTGCTTTGTTTGTACCCTTTGCACCTTAGCCTAAGGTTATGACATAAGATACACTTGGTTGATGTGATGGCAAATGTTACTGAACAATTCATAATAATGTATGGCTGCTGTTTTCTTTATCTAACTGCTGAACAGGGTCAAAGTGAGGTGTTTGCTGTGGTAGGCATGATTGTTTGTGTGTGTTTAAGTTAGTTTTTTTCTGTATCATTACTCTTTGGTCTGATTCAAGATGAACTTGAATATTATGTTGAAGTATCAGGAAAAATATACACTCATTCCAAAAATGTGTTGAGATTGCATAACCTGTATTGTAATCTGTAGATAGCTATGTTTATGTCTAGGAAGGGGGTAAACTAGTAACTTTAGTGCAGTTGAATTGTTTGCTATGGTGGTCTGCACCTGATGACGAGTGTGGCATTTGACGTTGGTGTAGAGGTAAGACCACCAGAGTCACAATGCTTCACTCCTCATTTAGTATGTGGTAGTGAGTACTGCACATTGTTGTTGGGGATAATTAGATGCCACATCCGTGGTTGTTGTAGTTATACAGTAACTAAATGTCTGATAAGTCAACTTTGTATATATATGTATATGGTAGGTGACTGAATTCATAGTGTGTTGATGCATTTGTAATGGGTGACTCAAATGTTCAGCATGTCTATATAACAGATTTGATTTCACTGTGTTGTTTTTATGTGTCAGGGTCCTTCAATATTTTTTCTCTCATTTTTGTTACATGCTTTAGTAATTTGTGTTTGTCAGTTAACTTAAGAAGACAATATACTCATGTCATCTCATAGGGCCTCAGTCTTTGTTAATTACTCTTCGTGGATGTTGATATTTCAGAGTTTATATAATGGCATACACACGTTTGCTAGAATGTATGTAACTTTGTGTTATTGGTAACTTGCTATCAGTTGTATTATATATGTGATTTATAGTTGAGAAATGTAATGATTTTATGCACCCAAAATTGTAAACATCATTTGTCATATAAAACTGTGGAAAGATGTCAGTAATTAATATTTAATGCATAAAAGACAAGAATTTTATAGAATAAAAGATAAAATCCAAAGAATATCCTAGCCTTACTACTATCATGTAAAAGTGTTCAGTAATGGCTGTTCCTGCTACAGTTGTGTCACACTATGCCTTGTTTCTTGCAATAGTAGAGAGAGAGTAATGATCAAATATAATCTTCTGTCAAGACAGTATTGAGATTAATAATTTGCTTTATGAATGAAGGACACTAGGATGGCAAATGGGACATCACTGTAGTTATATCTGTAGCATCTGTCTCTTCACTGATGATTCATTGCTGGGGTGTCATCCTGGAGGGCCGCAGAGCCTTGCTGATATCGCAGGCCTGGGTGCAGAGGGAGACCTCCATCAGATGCAATAATATAAGCATGTAGGCTCTTTTAGTATCCGGTCAGTGTCTTTTCTTGTGTGTGAGTAGTTCTTGATTCCTGTGGTACCTTGTTCTGATTGTTATGAAAATGATTATATTTGGATTACAGTGAAGAAGAAACAATAAAGAATATGTAAGGACTGACATCTCTCGGTAGGATAATTATGGGTCCCTAGTCAGATTGCGGAGATGTTGGGAGAAAGTATTACCATGATGATTACTTGCAAGAACACTTATTCAAAGCTACTGTATTTTTCTCTTCAGGAAATTTATACTTTTAATTGATTTGAAAAAAAAAAAATGTATGTATAAAAATTATGTTGCAAAGGGTGCTTGATGCACAAGCTGCCGGCTCTGTTCATCTGGTGCATAACATTTACTCAAAGTGTCTGGAGGCTTCTACCTCAGTCTTGCCAGATCAGAATCAACACATTTATTATTTTCTTGATTGATGGCCTTATTGTGCATGTATAGGGGTATCATGTTTAACCCTCTGTACCTTTAACTGTTAATGATTTTCCTCAACTCGAGGACTTGTTATTTGCACCCAACTCTCCTGAGTAGCTGGCAGAATGGTGTAATTGTCCTTGTTACTGTCTGCTATCTTCCTGTTAAAACCAAGCCAATGTAAAATAAAGGACTTAAATTGAATTGGATTCTATTATTTGACGACACAAAAGAGAAAACCCTTCTGGAACTATAATTCTTCCCTGGATTATTGTTTTACTACTCACATCTCTTGTGTGGTATGTTTTGTAGTGTGATATATTTTTAGCTCTTTAACCCTAGCCATCCACAAGGCTCGACAAAGATAAGTAAAATGGAGTTTTGTTGATTTTATTTTGCTTTTAAGTATAAGATGAAAGGTAATTATTTTTATGTGCAGTTAAAAAGGTAATCTTAATTTAAGTGTAAGAAAAAGGTAGAGTAAGCTTTGAAATATCAGATTCAGAAGTATAATATGCTTGAATTATTTAAATTCATCAATTATATTTACTTATGATATTACTAAACTCAATATGTTCAAAGTCATCTATCGTAATGTATATGTATCATACAAAATTTCAAGGACTCTCTCTTTTTGCAGACGGCCAGTTCCCATCATACCTCCAAGATTACCAGACCGACCCCAGTTGCCCCAGCGACCTCAGTAGGGAAGTGGAATGGATGAAAACAGAGCCAGTAGGAACCTTTTTTTGTCTCTTGCTCTTAAGCATAATTCCCACCATGATGTAGGGCCTGACAAGTTCATGGTGCTACACCTGCTACGGCAGACAGCTGACAGTATTGACACTGGCAGTTCTAGAGGCTTGAAAATCCTCAGAAGATGCATGTGGAGGTGACTAGGAAACTGTTTAATGATATGGAAAGAAAAAGAAAGAAAATTTCAAAAGCTTTCATTGTCATTGAATGTTGTGATTGCAAATTGCTCACAAATGTCATGATGAAATTGTTATGTCTGTGTAGATTAAATTAATTGTTCAACATTGCAAATTATAAAAAGTACATCAATTATGGATGGTATTTATTGCTGAGGCTTTTCCTCCTTGCCATTTTTAACATTTTATTAATGCCATTATAATAAGAGTGGGCAATTTAATTCACAAGTTTTTGTTGTTAATGTAAACTCTGTAAGCTGTAGCAGTAGCTACTCTCACTTAACAGAGTGGTGCTTTACTGAAAAATATATATTTTCTTTCTCAAAGACACGAAATTGGAAACAACAGAAAGGACCGAAAACCTCAGAGCATTGCCAAAGGACATATTTAATTTGTGTATATATAATGCATTTTTCTGCTGATACTGTTAATATGGTACCAGAAATTGTAGTGAAAAAAAGAATCGGTGACAGATACACCTACAAACTAGGAAAAATCTGTTTAGAAAAAAATTGGTATGAATTACAAAGGTTCTTCATATAGAATGACATTCTCATTATTTGATTGTTTTTCATAATATAGCTACATTATTCTTGTTGCATGACATATCCTTCCAATGTAATGTTTCCTTCATTCAGAAAATAGACTGTAAAAGTGGTACCTGTGGCCAGTGTTACTGACCGTTTGACTGTCTGCATTTATTGTCAAGTCTACTATCCTAATAATGTTTAATTTAGAAAACAAGTGTGGGAGCATTTTGAAGATAGGCTGGAATGTCATTGCATTGCATCTGCCAGAAATGGTAGAAGAGCCATATTATCTGGTCATCATGGAACTAATTGTAACAAACATTATCTGCTCAGTAATACTTAGCAGCTGGTGTTTCTAGTTAAAGTCTTGCATGTAAGCACATTTTCATACACATTGGTTGCCTTAGAGGATAGTCCGCAAGTCTGGAAGATCCATCACAACTAAACATTCTGTGATATACTGGGTTAGGGTCTGAATCAAAGATATTATCCTTTATATTTTCAAACCATTTAACAGTGTGTAATAACAGTGAACAGTTTAGAAATATTAGTTTTCTGTATCCAAATTAATGTGCAAGTTCAATTCAGCAAAACATGCATATATACGCACATGAACATGCACACTCACACATCCATTAAGAAGTAGATGTGTGTAGTCTTGTATGTATGACTAGGGTATACCTACAAAATGTTAGAGGCAGATTAAGATATTTTGTAAATTTGTTGAGCGGCTTGTACATTCTGTATTCAAGCAATATTGTATATATGTATATTAAGAAGTTACCAAATGTTTAAACCATTGAAGCAATTTTGAGATTGTCCTGTTTATTAAATTTCCTATACCTTTTTAGTTTATTAGGCTGAAGCTAGTCATATACTTGTGAAGTGTAGTTTCAGTCTTGAACAGTAGAGTTTTTCATTCTTTGTCACCTTATTTTATTTTCTTGTGATAGAATACACCTGAAAATGGATTCATGTATATTGTACTGGATGAGTTGCCCCAATATTCACATATATTAAAAACAGTTGAGTTATAATTTGTTATGATATATTTTTTTGTTGATTCCATTATCATTTTTGTTGTAATTTTCATTCAAGTATTGTTATTATTATTTGTTTATTATTATTGCTTATCATTAGAGTGAAGGTTATTTGCTTGTGTTCTTGTCATTGAGAGGTTATGGTTCAGCACTTGTTAACCTGTGGAAAAAGTGTGTTTGAATTAACATGAGTGAAATGATTTGAAGCTGGTGGGATACTGAATATGGAATTTATTATATGATATTTTATCATTTCATTTACCTTTCTTCGCTGCTCTCCATTTGGAGTTTTGACTGTTTACTAATACGAAGCAGATATACCTCATCTACAAAATGCAAATGTGAATTATAAAGTACATTTGTAACAAGCCTTCCTTGCTGTCTGTTTTTACACATTCAGAACCCAAGCATGACACTGGACATTATTAATTTCTCAAGGAACTAGTCTTGGAAGCATCACTCTGCAAAGCAGTCCTGTCTTGGAGGTTCAGGTGTGTCTTAGCAGTAAATCAAAGAGCCTTTTGCTTCTTGCACTTCATCAGCATTGAGATATATTTCAGTCATTTCCATCAAAGATACAGATTTTATTTAACATTCCATTCTCTTCTGTCACATGGCCAGCCAGCTATCATTCCACTTGCAAGCTGAGTCATCACTCATCTTCATCACCATTGTATTGTGATAAGTTATTGTACCTTGGTAAGTTACCCCTGTGTTCGGTTTCATGTGTTAACACTAAAAACGACTTGACTGTGTACTTGCACTTTACTGATTGCCATGGATAAGAGAATGTTATTGTATATTGCATAACACTAGTCAAGCTTTGATTTTAACAATATTTGGTGTAAACAATATGTTGGTTTTCAAGTGATTTGATTTGATATCTCCCTTCAAGTGGAAGCCTGATATCAGAAAGCAGTATGTCATATATACAGTTCAGTTTGAATTATAGTTTATATGGTTGATATCCAGGTAACTCATTTTCTCCTTCTTTCTATTTTCTTTCTCTCTGTCTCTTGGTCATGCTACTTCTTTCACTCTCTCTCTATTTCTAGTTATCTTTTCCAATACCTTTCTCTTCCTTCTTTGTTCTTCCTTCCTTCCCTTACCACATCCTCCCTCCCTCATTTTGTATGATGTCCAGTGACTGGAAATAAAGTGAAAAGTAAATTATTTTGCAATTGATATTTTTGTACCTGTGTGTGATGAGGATATAATGGACAATTTGTGTCAAGAAAACTATTTTTTACAGTCAAATGCAAAAGAAGATATGAAGATATATACTAATTGAAAGCAAAGGATTGCCAAGCACAGATGAAACTTCTTGATTTTGGATGTCAAATAATGTAAACAAGAAACATATGGTGACTGCAAAACTAAGCTGGAATAGATGTTAGTCTAATTTTAGTGCATGGCAGAGCTTTTCCCTGATAGAAGATAGAGGATAGAAAATAATGGTTGAGATGAAGTAACATACGCTATCAAAAGGGAAGTAAGGCAAGTAACAGAAGCATGGAAAAATCTGAAAGTAATTATTGAATTTGGATTGTAATTACTATACTATAGATGGCTTTTCCTTGAACAAAAAGGAATAGATTAGTAGGTTAGTTAGCATGAAATGCCTCTCAACTGTGAGCAGGTTGGCTTGTCGCCTCTTTCATGCCTCACATCCTCCCAGAATTCACTGATGCTGTTTCTGCTGCTATCTCTTCTAATTTTTAGTCTGATGATGTGCCTTAAAAACTTAATTGGTAGAAAACACAAGACAAATTACATCTTTGATCAACCACTATATTGCTTACCTTCCTGTAGAAAGACAAAAACAACCTATGGAAAGTAGCTAAATTATAAACTATTGACCTGTATGGGAATTTGACTTTTAAAAATATGCACGGATGTAAGCTATTTTGTAAACAACACATACTTTACCTGCATACTTTTTGTCTGAGACATTCTGCAATTTGAAGCCAGAAATACCTTTGTTCACTCTGTGCGAAGGGAATAGTTGAAGATGTGTGTGTAGATGTGGGCAGGCGAGAGTGAGAACGAGAGCAAGGGAACAACTGTACTATTGTACTATAGTAGTGCCGTAATAACAGTTATTAAAATGGTGATGAGCTATTTTTATTATTGACACAGTTGATTACGAAAATTATAGTAGCAATTGTTTTTAAATTAATAATGCATAGTATTCAAATGTAGTGCTAAAGAACGGTGACGATAATGATAATTCTGAAAATATGAATAGTAATAATCATTTACATTTTTGTTTTTCCTGTTTTCAAGCTAGTCAGTTAAATCAACATTTTGATAGTAACCTCTAAAAACACTCTGTAAATAAATGAATCAGCTTAGTAATAGTAGATGGGCGTGACTTTTTGGCTCATATAAATCGGATGACTTCGGCGATGGAAAGTTAATGATAACGAAGGTAATAAAGAGGGTTGTTTTGATGATTCATATTTTTAGAATATGGTAATAGTTATTGATTTCGTTGATAGGATTATGATGATGATGATAATGATAACAATAGCCGTAACAAAAACAATATGATAATAATGATGATAATGATGTAATGCAAATTATTATCAGTAATGGTTATAATAATAATTACTGATGATACTAAAATGAAAATAATAAAATTGTGATAATGAAATAGTAGCAATGATATATAATTTAAAAAACAAGACGACAATAAAGATGATAATGGAATGATACTTATTAGGATAATGATGATTTGATTATATGATATAATGATAATGACGCTGATAAAAAATGATAATCAATGATGATAATAGAAATTATGTTACTGATATTTTCATGGTAATAATTGTTTGTGGTCTTGATAAGGAAATACTAATGATCATGATTATAACAGTGGCAAAAGAAAAACAATAATGATAACCAAGGTCTGAACGAAAATGGAAAGAAAGTCCGTAAAAAGAAAAAGAGGTAAGAGTAAGGCAGTAATAAAAGGAGGCAGGGATAAATGTGGAAACAGCCTGCTAATACCTGCGCGTGTTTATGGTTAATGGTTAAAAGCGTAATAAATCAAAGATCATATAGCACTATAGGAAGGTATAGTAAAGGGTGATGACAGGTGATAGTTGCTGTGTTAACAATCTAGAAATATTGAAAGGTTGGAGATGGGTAAGGGTTGATGAGGGAAAGGGGTATGGTGGATTAGGTAAGGGGATTACATCAAGTGAAGGATATTATGCATCTGAGGAAGAAGAACAGGTTGTAAGCAAGGATATGACGTAGGTCTGGTCTGTGAGAACGGAAACCGCGAATTTTCCAATGTAAGAGAGCAATATCTTAGTTATTTAATGAGTGAAAGCGCCTCTACGTGTAGGGGAATCTGGGGGGAAGGAGCTAGGGGGTGTAAAGGAGGGATATTAGGAGGTAGGGAATCTGGGGAAGGGCATTGTTGTGACATGAGTGATTCACGTATGTATCCGGGAGGGAGTGGGAAGGATAGAGGGGATGGAGGGAGGGAAAATGTGCGTATAGTTGGAGTTGAAGAGGGTGGGTTATGTTGGGAAGGAGTAGGAGGAAGTGGTGTGGGGGGAATATTAGTGGTAGGAGGATGGATATCGGTGATGGACGGAATTGACGGGGTTTGGTTGTGTTGATAGGGTGCAGGAGGAAGGGGTGTAGAGGGAATATGAGTAGAAGGGGTATGGACATCGGCAATCACTTCAAGTGTGGAGGGAGCATGAGTTATGGAATTTTGTGTCTCAATCATATAGCTTTGAATGTCTTCCATAGTTTCTGCAGTGGAGTTGGTTGGAGAGTTTTGTGGGACAAAGGTTTTCTTATGAGGGGGGGGGGGGAGAGGAGACTGGTGTCTGAGGAGTAAAGGTACAAGTAGGTGGAGGTGAGTGTGCGATAGGGGAAGAAGGGGTGGAACGTTTAGTCTGTCTACCGCGGGCTTTACGGGGAGGGAGAGGGGATGGTGTTGGGGCTGTAGTTGAGATTGGAGCTGTGGTTGAGATTTGGGTGTCTGGATTTAGAGTGGCAAAAGAATTTGACTGGGGAGGTAGAATGTAGAAGTGGAAGTGGAGAAGTAAGTAGGTATAGGGGAGAGTGCAGGGACATCTTGAGGTGAAGGGGAAGGGGCAGAGCAAGAGACATTACTAGAGTAGGGAGTATGAGAGAAACCTTGTCGACGTGCTTCCTGTCTGGCTTCACGTAAAGTGAGACCAATTGGAACCGCCTCTATAAAATGCATTGTGGGGGCCGCCGCAGTTAGCACATATACGTGTTTGTGCAGAACAGTTTGATCGTTTATGACCGGGTTGGGCACATAGAGGACATCGGGCTGTGGAACGGCATTGTTTGGCAGGATGTCCAAAGCGCCAACAATTTTAACATTGGGGGGAGGGGGGGTATGGTCGAACAGGGAGGGATTGTCCACCAATGTAGATACGTAAGGGAAGGTCATGTGTACGAAAAGTAATTTTGGTAATGTTAATCGGTTTCTTTCGTTGACCTCTAGGAGGAATGGTGTAGTAATGTACTGATTTCACGTCTTGGTCTTTGAGGCATCCTAGTAAGTCTGACCAATCTTTGGTATCGACTTGGCAGTTTGCTGGGGAAAGAGAGAGACAGTTCCGGTACAAGTATTAAGAGTTGGATGAGGTTCTGCAGGAATGGGATTGCCAGAATGATCAGTTAGATTTGATAGTGCTATAGATTCAGTTTCTGATCCGACTGTTACGAGACGGGAACGGTCGCGTCTGGTATAGAATGGGACTCTGCCCACTTGTTTTTGGAGGCATTGTTGAAAGAGAAGAGTGTTGCCTGAGTAAGGAGCTGTAGAAGGGATCACGAAAAATCGTTCCCATTTGGCTGGGCTAAACAGAGTATTTAAGATATTTGTATGGTTGGTGTTGGTGGATAATCGGGGACGTGTGGAAGAGGGAGTATTACGGAATGATGGAGAATAAGGCTGTAAGGTACTAACAAGGGAGGATGGGGTGCTTGATGAAGGTTGTGGGGGTAGAGTTGATAAATTTGACGAAGTTGGGAGGGTAGGAATGTTTTTCTAGAGACTGGGTCTCTGCTTGGGTGGGTAATGCACTAGTAGGTATTGAGGAGTGGGTAGTAGTTTCAGTGTTCGGAGTCGTGGTCAAAGGAGAGCCTGGGGTCAGGGAGCCGGTGGGGCTATCTGATGAAGGGGCAAGCCTCATTGCCCCTAATAAGGGTATTACATCTTCATTACTAGCCATGGGAAGCCTTGGTTATGTAAATGAAATAAACAGTCCACCCCCAGTGCCCTGTACGGGGGTAAGGGCTAGACAACTAAATCAGGGGAATACCGTGCCCATGGTTCCCGCAGGCCGTTCAGGACTGGCACAAGGTCAGCCTTTCATCCTTTCAGCACGGCTCTAACACCTTAGGAAGTAGATAGTAGAATAGGTTGGAGAAGGGACGGAAACAAAAAGCTGGAGGGGAAAAGACTATGCAAATTTAGTTGAGTCGAGGGCTGAGGCCCTAGGCAGAGATCCCTGCATTGGGTCTCAGTATCCGTCTCCTAAGCCCTCCCCCACGACAACAACGGGCAAGGGATGGGGGGGGGGTGCGCGTGTGTATTTGTAATTTTGTAGTTTGTTGCGTATACCATGTGCTGCTC